GATATCCTCAGATTTTCCAAGATTTAAATTTAAATTTACGTGCAATTTGAAGTGATTTTTAACACATCAAAACGATAACGGCACTCAAATAATCTACAATCGTCTCTTGCTTTCAAAAATAATAGATTCACTGATGCTGAAATTATGGTCGAGTTGGAATACGAATATATGTCCATCATATGTAACTATCAACTTCAAACTATTATATTTCTAACCTTATCGAGCTGATTCAATTTTCATGCTAATATAATTTTTTTCTGTAATCTTTAAATTTTTAATGCATTTTGAATTTAGCAGACTATAAAAATTTATTGAATTGTTCCTCAATAGGTGGCTCTTTGCAATGTTTTTTTGAAAGTTTCAGTCTGAAACTTTCAGATTGAAGTTAAAATTTCTTCAGAATTTTTCAGAACTTATAAAAAAAATTAGCTAAATCTGTGTTTCATAATCCTTACCATTCAACCAATTAAGTAACTTTTGTTGTTCGTACTTTTGATTACTATGCTGGTTGATTATCTTTTAACAACTAATGGTAAGTAATTTGTTTTTGCAATATATTGTATTATTATTATTGTTAATATTCTAATCATGATTTTTCGTCTTAGCTTTTTACTCAACAGATCAAGAATCAAAGTCACGAGTGTGGCTTTAAATGGACTTAAGTAGCTTTCTTTATACTATAAGTTACAAGAGCAAATGCTGCTAAAAATCATTATCGAATGCATTTGATGCTCAAATGAGCAGTATTTTATCGCAGCCACAACCAAAAATTGTTGACAATGACCTGATATCCTTTAAACTGTGCCTGTGCACTTGTTTAAACTTGCTCAATTTCAGCTGATTATTTCATCATCCAATGATCTGGATTCAGACTGTCTGCATTCTCCTGGTTAGCTAATTTCAGATGCCAAAAATGATTCAACTTGGAGCAAGCTGCTTGATATTAAGCACTCCGATCTCGACTTTTCATAATACCTGTCATTCGTCATTTTCGGATTATTACGTAAGTTAACCATTATTATAATTTTATGCAATTTTGAACAACTACCGTTCCTCATTTCCATTTTAAAAGCATTATGGAAGTGATTTAAAGTTGTCCTAAAACAATAAAATTCACTTCACTTTCAGTATATTAAGTTTGTCAACTGAAATTTTATGAATTTTAACATCTTCCTTCTTGTCAGGTTATCAGTGGATTGGATAAATAATGGCGATTATTAGGCGAGAAAAAGTCAACATGTACAATTCACTGAACGAATGTAATAACCGTCGCTGTACAAATTAACAAACAAAAGGATTGCTTTCAACTCAATTTGGAAAGATTTTCATATTCATCTGCAGACAACGAAAATAAAATTCTATCCAAAGCATTACAATCTAAATCTTGATGGGAATCAAAAATCACACCATTCTTTGCACAGAAAAAAGTTCCATATGTTTTCAACGAACCTTTCATATTGATGGTTTTGCAATTAACAAACAGTCTCGCAGTTCAAAAAAATTTGACTTCTTAAAGTTATATTTGTCCATCACAGTATAATAAAGAAGATCGTAGAAAGCTTAACAATGAACTTAAAATAAAATAAAATAAAGTTAAATATTTCAAGTGCAAACGCTCAACATAACAAAACTGCTTAACGACCACAAAAAAATAATAGTGATTGACTCGAAAGAATACAAGACATTTCGATTCATATTTTCGGTAGTTGAGTCATTTAGTCAATGTAGAGTTCACAAGCAACTTTGATTAAATAGCTTAATTAGTAAGCTTGTGCATACGCATTGATGCTTTGGCTCCAATATTTGATCATGGCTGTGACTAGACTTTTTTCCAAACAAATATTCACACCACTATCCTCTTAAGGAAACCTTTCTTCTAAAAAAGTAAGAGAGAAAGTAAGAGTAAGTCGAGAAAGAAAGAGTGAAAACGTTTCCTTAAGAGAATAGTGGTGTGTTGTACAAAAGCGCATTTAGCATTTTAATAAAAAATAGCTTTATATTATTCACATTAAGTCGATACTTTATTAAACGGTTAAATTGGGAACATAAAATTTTGGAAAATTATTAAGGAGATAATAATATAAAAATTTATTGATTTATTTCTGATGCAGAAAGATTTATAACAATTTATTTTTAGTTAAATCAGTTTTTAAATTGCGATTTGTAAACATTTAGTTTTCTAGTTAAACGATAGATCGGTTTCTTCCGATATATTGCTGCTTAGCTCTTTTTTCCGAGATTAGTAATCACTTTTGATGAAAATTTTGCTCAGAAAATTATCTTATTGTTTCCTTAGCTTTTCAAATTGTTATCGATTGATCTAACCATCAATCTAAATTATAATTCTTTTCAGTCTTCCTTATTGAATGATCTGTCCTTCAATTTAACAATTTCATCATGGCATCTGCAGGAGATTGGTGTCTAATTGAAAGTGATCCAGGAGTTTTCACTGAACTAATAAGAAGCTTTGGTAAGTTAAATGCAACCCTTTCTTTGTTTAATCTTAAATATTATTTCTGTAGAATTATTCTAAAACATGAATGTTTACTCCATCTGAATTTGGAAATGTTTATTCTTAGCCTACTTCTATTTGTGTTGTCTATTCATTTGGTTCTTTAACTCTAGATTTTTACCAACTGAACTCCATGCTGATTTGTAATTTCTGTTTGAATTTGAATGTTTGTTTTCATTAACTTATCTTATCTGTCATTTCAGGTGTTACCGGTATCCAAGTTGAAGAATTATGGAGTTTAAATGAGGATAATTTCGAACCACTCAAGTAATTAAAACATTAGTACTAATATTTCTTGATGCAGATTACTGATACTATATCATTTATATTTACAGACCTATTCATGGACTTATTTTCTTATTTAAATGGTTACCTGGAGAGGAGCCTTCTGGTAGCATTGTACGAGACTCTAGATTGGAAAAAATGTTCTTTGCTAAACAAGTTATCAACAATGCATGTGCTACACAAGCTATTTTGAGTGTTCTACTAAATTGCAGTCACTCAGATGTTAGTCTGGGAGAAACTCTATCTGAATTTCGTGAGTTCAGCTCTTCATTCGATCCTGCTATGAAAGGACTTGCCTTAAGCAACTGTGACAAAATTCGGGAAGTTCATAATTCATTTGCTCGTCAACAAATGTTTGAATTTGACTTTAAATCATCATCAAAAGATGAAGATGTTTTTCACTTTGTGGCATATATACCATTTGAAGGAAGGCTGTATGAACTTGATGGTTTAAAAGATGGCCCAATCGATTTAGGTGTTATCCCTGAAGGATCTGAATGGACTGATGTTGCTAAACCTGTGATTGAAAAGCGAATTCAAAAGTATAGTGAGGGCGAGATACATTTCAATTTACTCGCACTTATTAGTGATCGAAAGATGCTTTATGATCGTCAACTGGAAGATCTTCATAAGCAGTTAGCGGAACCCAATGCTGATTCTGATACAATAAATATTAAAATTAGTCAGCTTAAGATACAAATTGAAGAGGAAGAAGTGAAAATGAGGCGTTATAAGGTGATTATATTTTTTTGTTATTTATTTATTCCACGCTTACGTTTTCTAATTTAAATATTTTTTTCTTGCTCATCATTGTAGATTGAAAACATCCGTCGAAAGCACAACTATTTGCCATTGATTGTTGAAGTACTAAAAGCTTTGGCTCAAGAAGGAAAATTAAGTAATCTAGTTACTAAAGCTAAAGAAAAAAGTAGTGCTACAAAGAAAATTAAAGAGGAAGCTAAATAAAGTTCTTCTGGATTTCTTTATAAGAAATTTCGAGTTTGGAATTACAATTTTCTTTAAAATCTTGCAGTTTCTTCTGTTGGTTATCAACAATTTCTTGTAAACAATTGCTAATTTAAATGTTCAAAATTGCATTCATTAGTTTAAATTGTCCCTAAATGATTCCATCATGATGATGAATGGTTGCAAAAGAGATTCTTAAATTTTTTACTATGCAAAAGTTCATAAAAACTATTAATAGTATATTTGAATTTAATCGCTTGTTTTATAAATCATTCAATTTCTTGAACGTAATTCAGGAGTTTATAAACATTTTGATGAACATATCGTCATAACATCATTATAATAATAAATTACTTGCTTTAAAAATGCCTATTTATAATAGGCATTCGCGGAAGCATCAACAGGAACCAATTGATTAGAAGGTTCAGAAAAATCGTATTGATTCTGAAGTTTAAGATTTTCAAGATTTATTCAATAATTCTAGCGTGTGCATTTAATTATTTTAATAATGAATCATTTTATTGCTTGAGTTTAATGCAGGAGGTAGATGAACATCTAGGAAACAAAACGTCGACTAGAAAAGAAAACTTGCGAAAAAATTTTTAAGCTTGTAGCTATAATTACTATTTAAACTAATATTTATTTATAGTTTTAATAGTAAACAATCGAGAATGGAAAATGGCAGTACTTTTCAATTTTCTCAGCATAAAAGATTGATTAAAATTTAGAGAAATTCGTGAAAAAATGTCCAAGACAATAAGAAATGGATAGTTTAAATTACATGACTATCAAAACGAGTTACACTTAAATTAAATGAAAATGAGTTACATTTGATATTGTTGTCATTCATATTGTTACGTTTACTATACACTAATTGTTGTAGTTATTGTTGGCTACAAGATTTAATTGACTTAAATTTTACTTTCTTTATCTTATCCAGTTAGTTGTAATTGTAACCTTATATCATTTACATTAAAATCATTTAACCAGTTAAACCTTATTACTTATAATCTGCATTATTTTTGTCATATTAACCAACTGGTTATGGGTCCTGACACGCAAAATAATGGAAGTAATGTATTGGTTGAGCGTTTTGATGGTAAAAACTTCTCTTCATGGAAATTCAGAATGATGAATTGGTTGAGAAAAGAAGGTTTATGGACCATTGTTATTGATAAAAGCTTGTTACAATTAGGAGCTCATAGGTTGGAGGTCAATATTAGACAGGATGAAAAGGCTTTGGGTATTTTGTGTTGCTCAGTATCTTCAAGGTATTCATCGCTTATTCAACATGCTAAAACGTCTCATGATGTTTGGACAATATTATGTAAAACGTTTGAACCTAAAGGTCTAGGACATAAATATCATTTACGAGACCAACTATTTTCGTTGAAATTTGAAAATGGTGACACCGTTATTGATAAAGTCGCTGACCTTCAAGAAATTTGGAGCCAATTGAGTCTATCTGGTGAAAGTATCAATGAAAATGAAAAGGTCATAACTTTGCTACGTAAGCTTCCAAAACGGTTCAGTAATTTTGTATCTGCTATACAGATATTGGTTGATGAAATTAAATTTGAAGATTTAGTTTCAAAGGTCATTCAGGAAGAGTTCAGATTGAGTCAATCGAAACTAAACAATGAAATTGTTGATGGTGGTGCAAAAGCTTTAACTGTTTCTGGCAAATCAAAGAAGAAAAAGCCATTTAATAAGAAAGACATTATATGTTATCAATGTCAAGAAAAAGGTCATATCAAGCGAAATTGTCCGAAAAAGACAAGTAACAATAAGACCGAGCTCAACAATGAATACAAGCAGGATAATATTGTTTTAACAATTACTGGTAATATTGACTGTAATGATTGGAAAATTGATTCTGGTGCTACTAAACATATGACTGGTAATATTAATATGTTCAATGAATTATCTAATGTTGAAAATGATTTTGTTTACCAAGCTGATGGAACTGCCTTAAAAGTAGAAGGCAAAGGTAACATTGTAATGGAAGGTACTTCGGGAGATAAAACTCATAGATTTACATTGTCAGATGTTTATTATGTTCCTAATTTGACTCAAAATCTTGTATCTGTTGGTCAGGCTGAAATGAACGGTGCTGAGTTTGCCTTCAAAAGAGGAAAATGTTTCATCAATAAGAATGGTAAATTACTAGCAACTGCTAATAAGGTTGGAAATTTATATATATTAAATTGTCATGCTATCTTTGACAAACCAAACACCGCTTACATTGGAAATGCTAAACGAAATGTTGAACGTCAAGATATTAACTTATGGCATAGACGGTTTGGTCATTTGAATTTTGCTAATTTAAATGAAATAATCAAAAACGAAAAGGTTGAAGGAATCATTGCCATTGGAAAACCAGAAAATATTTGTACAGGATGTTTGAAGGGTAAAATGACTAGAGGTTCATTCAATTGTCGTTCAACGGTTAAGACTTCATCGGTACTTGATATTATACATTCCGATATTTGCGGACCTATTCGAGTGTCATCTTTCAGTGACAAGAAATATTTTGTATCTTTCATTGATGACTGGTCTAACTGGGTTACTATTATTCCAATAACAGAGAGGAAAGAGGTTTATGAATTGTATAAGTCGTTTGAAGCTGAAGTTACCGTTTTACATGGTAAACCTATCAAATGTTTCAGGTCCGATAATGCTCTTGAGTATACCTCAAATAATTTTGAGAAACATTTTAAAGGGAAAGGAACTAGACATGAAACATCGTTACCATATTATCATGAACAGAATGGAGTTGCTGAACGAATGAATCGTACCATTAGAGAAATGGCTTGTGCAATGATTTACCAAGCAAATTTACCTCTCGAATATTGGGCTGAAGCTGTAGTAACTGCAAGTTATATCAGGAATAGATGTCCAGCAAAAGCTATTGGTAATGTGACTCCTTATGAACGTTGGTTTGGAGTTAAACCTAATGTATCTAATTTACGAGTATTTGGTTGTAAAGCTTATGTTTATTTACCTAGGGAAAAACGATCAAAATTTGAACCAAAGGTAACTGAAGCAATCTTTACCGGTTATTGTTCAACACACAAAGCGTATCGTTTAATTGAAGAAGACTCAAATAGAGTAATATTTGCTCGAGATGTCAAGTTTGATGAGTCAAGTATATTGAATCAGTCTGATTTGAACAAGTCAAATGTA